ATAACTTGGGCAGTAATTAACAATAATATTTCACAATCATCTAGTTATACTAATTACAAGCTGAGTAAAACCAAAACCTTTCGAGTTAAAAACCTTCTCAACAACCTTCCGACTATATCTCAATTACATAAATACTACCCTAACATTATTAAAACAAAACAATGTATCTTCTGTAACCAATCAGATGATAGCATTCATTGGTTATTCTGTCCCAATTCACAACTAATTTTCGATATAATTAAATCTAATATACTATCTAATCTTACAATAAGCAATCTTGATATCTCACCCTCACAGCTTCTTCATCTTCAAAATTTATTTATTAACCATCACTCTTTACAATTACTACAGCCTTTCTCCAACAATATCTCACTCTATCAAACTATTACGGGCCTTATACCAAATGACCTTATTCAGTTACTATACCCATATACAGACTCTCATAAATCAGCTCACCAGCTTATAACTTCTCTATTCATAAAAATATCAGAATCAATACATGAACAATTATGGAAACCTTACTGCACCAAACTCTCTGAATGGAAGCAAACAAACAATATCAACCTCCATAAACAAAATTCACAAACTAACACTACACAACTAAGCCCATTTCTAACACATAATTACTCTAATTCAAATGAAGTTACCTGTATATGCAGATACTCTGAAAAACATCATAAAAACTCTTTATGTCCTCCAGAAGGACTGGCCCACCACAAACTAGATATTTGGTCTGTTGAATGGATTAAATATAGCATCCCTACTAATAACATTATAAACATCCAAATCTAGGTGAGCTATGACCACTCTAGTAGGTTTAGGTCACAGATAAATTAGTCTGAGTTTCAAATCTTGTCATATAGTTTAAGATTATACCTTGTTATACATAGTATTTAAAAAAAATTTCAACTGTAAATTTTTAATTAAATTATTAATAAAGATAGAAACATGGCCTCACCTTAGCTTTGCTAAAAAAAAAAAAAAAAAAAAAAAAAAAAAAACAAAATTATTATATATTATTATAGTAGTTTAATTAATAATGAAAATAAATTGTTTCATTATTAAGGGTAAGGTAAACATAGATTAATTTTCATATAATATGCATAGTATTTTGCCTTTTTAGCAAAAATGAATACATGTTTATTATAAAGTTTTTTGATTTTTAATTAATTTCTATAAAATTTTTATAATATATACTTTAAAATAGTATATATCTTTTTATAAAATTTTAAAATCTATTAATTATAAAAAATTTATACTTGTATATATTATAAAATTTCTTAGGTGATTCCAAATTTTCCTAAGTCATACAAAATAATCTAATCTGATTGGTTGATTTCAGTAATTTTATATAATAAATTTTATAGTAAAAAATAAAAACAAATAATTAAATTTCTATATCTCAACAAGTTTTAACTCAATTTTAATAAATTTACTACTGTTAGAATTACAAGAACCTAGTTTATAACTTTACTTAGAATACCAATAAAGATTTAATTAGTAAAATTTTTCGTAATTTAAATTACAAAAAAAAATTATGCAATTCATATAAAAATTGATCTATATTCCCCCTACCCTTAAAGGATCTGGACAAACTTTTGAGACAATTTTTTATAATTCAGCTTTCATTTGTAAGCGCTACAGATGAAGAGATAAATATCACAAATAAATACGCGAATATTACAGTTAGTAATCCATTTAAAAGTGATATTAATTATGAACTTGAAGATATATTTGTAGATTTGAAATTTATATTTTTTTCGCATTGTTCTAATTATATATCATTTTTTAGTCAAGTAGTAAAGGCAGTTTTAAGAGCCGAATTTTTATTGACGGTTTACAAATGATTTTACCACCTTTTTGTCTACTTTTTCCTTCTTCTTATTGTTCCCTTCAAACATACTCTTTCTTTTTGGTATTAAAATTTTATATTATTCTAATGACTTTAGTTTTAGTTATTTCTTTTTACGTTTCAGTTTTTCATTTAAAAAATAATATATCACGCAAACACTCAAAATAATGATCAATTACCAGATAAAGAAGAAGAATTGCTAGATAATACTTTTAAAGATATAAAATATTTGCAATATTCATATCTCTTGTCCATTTAATTTTCAATACTTTTTATTATTTGTTGTTTTAACAATATATGGCCCAGAATCCTTTCCTTTCATTATTATCGTTATCTTTCAATTAATTGAAATCTTCATTCCATTAGACTCATTGAAGGAATTAAAAAATGTTGTGGACTAAAGAAACATGGAAATGCTCAAAGCAAAACACTTCGTACCTTTGCTTTAGGATTAATTATACATACATTACACTTTGCTTCAATTGCTTATTTTTTTTCAAGTAGTGATGTACTTATTGGTTACCGCAGTCATTCTTTTTTCCGAGCAAACAAGTTAACAATATGCTCGTTTTAGTTACAATTTAAAGGATGAATCTTCTAGAAAGTCTTCTTTTTTATGCGAAACCGATTCTAATTTCTAGGAACAAGACGAGAAACACATTTGTTGTTGTTAAAGTAGATAAAAATAAATTTTTAATTCGATAAAATCACGAATTTATTGAATTTTTTGATAGAAGTTGCACAAAGAACTTTTTTCCCTGAATATCTACACAATAAGGCCACTTGCAGTTAAATCTTTGGTTAAAATCACTTTTTAAGACTTCGGTGAAGGAAATTGAAACGAACAAATAAAATGAATTAGAATAAAAAATCTATGATGACAAATCAACTTCCAATTCAAACGCTGTCAAAGTTTAGTTCAGAGATTTTAATTAAGTTTTTCAAAGTTAATTAGTTGGCTAACATTAATAATTTTGAACTTGGACTAGGGAGAGAACACCAATTTCATTGATCAGTACAAAATGATTTTATTGGTACAATTTTTTGGGGTGCAGTCGAATGAGAGAGTGGATGATGTTAACAGAAATTTAAATTCGAACGGCCTAACTAGTGTCACTATGAAATGAAAAAAATAATTTTACAAATATAAGTTTTTTATCTATTTTATTTATCTTTTTAGTATATTAACTAGAATTATAATAATCAAAGTATTATATGAAACAATAAAATATAAACGTGGAAGAAAAGGTAAATTAAATATTAAATAAAAAGGTTCAATAATGAATAAATAAAGATTTTTTATGACGGTTTTGCAAAATGATTTTTTTTATATGTTATTTTGTAGATCAGCTGTGATTGCTGTTACTAGGTTTTCTATCTAATATAGTATACGTAATTATCCTAGCAATCATAGTGTTACAGTTGTGACGTGTTTTCACATCATTATTATTTGCTATTTCTTTTTAGAACATTTCTATTGTTACGTATACGAATGTGTATTTTTATTTGGTCATTTTAAGGTAGTTAATTAAACAGGTAATGATAGAGCTATACCAAAACAACCATTACAAAAGAGAAATATCGAAAGAATTATAGCGAAAGAGTAGTTTCAAGTGGGACAAAAGAACAGATTTTAAAATATGTGATTAGCTAGAATCCAAAATGTAATAAGTAGCGACTTTTTACCTTTAATAAAATTAAGAAGAGAAAGAGTTCGATGTCCTGAGTATAAAAAGAACTAAGAGTTCGGATCTCTTAATAATGATTTAACTTTCTTTAATTTCCAATTATCATATGGGATCTTTGCTAGGAAAATGACCCTTCGAGACTTTTTAATAAATTTAAATTTACCGGCGATCCAGTAATTCAATTTGAATAAACTTTTTTTTTTATTTAGTAGAGTCTATGAAATAAAACAAAAGTTTATTTAAATTGAATTACTGGATCGCTGGTAAATTTAAAATTTATTCATAAATCTAAATAGTCTCCAATATCATTAATATTCGAATCACATTTTGATTAAATGAAATGCTATCGTAAGTTGCGACTGGAGCCAAACTACATACATATTGTATTGCTTTTCCAACCAGTCGTAATAATAGTAATCGGCAATCTGTTAAATGATTGCTAATTTAAATACCAGTAGCAATATAAAAAAAATCAGAGTCGTATAATTTTGCAAACCGTCATACAGTATTTTCGCGTAATAACGCACAGGGAGCGTTATTTCGAGCATTTGTAAAGTACGTTATTTCGAAACGCACATGCGCGATAATTCGAATCATATAGATAAATTTTAGTAAATAAAAATTATATTATTTTAAGATTGGACCCGGAGTTGAAATTTTATATCGGGGCGCGCATTGGAGTTAAATAGTTAATTTTCTAAAGAATACAAAATTCGAAATAACGCCTCTGTGTGTTATTATGCGAAAATACGGGTAATCCAAATGGCAATTATTATTAATTTAATAGGTTAGAAAAGAGAAAATCTCTGGACAATTACCGTTTTTAACAGCGATCACATATGCAATAAAATAATTTATCATTTACAAGAGTGTGGAAATACTCATTCCCTTAATTTATTTAACTACTTAATATAAAAAAAAAAAAAATGATATTTTTGCTATAACAAAAAAAAACATGGTCATGCCATTAACATTCAAGATAATGCATTAATTCTCTCTGTGGTATGTCTTTTTTGGTATATTATATTTCATTAACTGGAAAGACTGTTCATGTATGATATAATTTGATCAGACTTTATACTATCGCACGTTTCCAGGAACAAGGGTTTATTTTTCGAACTTAGGTTATTTTCTTAAAAATTTGAAATATTTCATATTCCTCTACAGAAAAGTACGATTTACCTTTATGATCTATGGGAGCGCTTCTAATAGGTCTTGAATAATGATAATGTTTATAATAACATTGACTAATTTCATTAAAATTATTTAACATGCAAAGCTCATGACCACTACCAAAACACGGACCATAATTAGGATCACAATAAATTACATTTTCAGGTGGGTTTGTTAAAACACTTATTATAGAATTTTGAATTGTATCACTTTTCAACGAAAAAATAAAACTTTCATTAAATCTTATCCACCCATTAACAGATTTATCCCATGCAATAGGATTATATCCACCAAGAATTTCACCCGTGTCTTTAACTTTCATAATTACAACAGTATTTGCCTGCTTATCACATAAATTCCAAAATGTAGTAGTAGTAAATCCATCTATACTTCCACGAAGAAGTAATTTAAATTCGTATGGATTATCTCCTACAGGATATAGTTCTGATTTCTTATCAATCCATGTAGCAATTTCACTTGCATGTGCTTCATCAATTACCATTGAGAATGATTCAGATTTTGGCGGTGCTCTAGGTGGTAAAGTTGGTTTTAAAATTACTCGAGGAGGAAGAACTGTTGAAGTTATTGGTTGTCGATTTGATCCCATAAATTTTCTTTGTATATCTTTCCAAAGATTTTTATCTAAAATTTGTTGATATGGTTGTATACTTTCAATAATATCATCCGAAGACATTTGAAAATAACGGATATGAGGTAAACATTCTTGTAAAGTTGTCTTCAAGGTTTTAAAATTATTATAAGACCAATCATCGACATTATGTGGTAAGTCAGGATTTTGTGCAATTCCCCATTGAATAACACGATTCCAAATTTTTACTTCTTCCATTTGTAAATCATCACGACTAATTAATGAGATTAATGAATTTTTTTGAAGTGAAATAAAGCTTTCAGAATCAAAAATCTTGTCTGGATATTTTGCAGCAATCCCATTACACCAATTTTGTAATTCTTTAAGGTTATCAATTTGGAAAGTTTTTTGATAAACATGAGTAAAACGTAAGCGAAGCCAATGAGTTTTTGTTTGAATCAGATAATCTTCAAGATGTTTAACCAATTCATCAAATCGAAACTCATTACTAATAAGCATTAATTCGAAGAGAAATGACGCATCAAGGTTTTCCAATAAAATGGTTCCTCCATAAATATATCTTAAATAAAATTATTAATTTAATTAAATTGTTATAGAACGTAATACAAAATATAAGTTAACTTACTTAATAATAACATCGAATAACTGAGCAGAGACATGTTCTAAATCGATCGTTTTAATATAATTTTTATCTTTGTAATTATTTGATAATTTCTCACGAAAATATAAAGATCTATATTTTAAAATGGCGGAATGTGCTTGGAATACCGTAGTATTTGAAGGGTTACCAACATTAATGATTACATTAAAATCTTCTTTGTCATAAAGAAGCTCTAGGTAATCATTTGAAAGTTTTTCAAAAAATTTTACAGACATTTTGAATAGAATTAACTTAATCGAAAAGTATACAACAATAAAATTGTTTATATAGTTTTATTAAATGCATTATCTGTCGTAATACAAACTTCTAAAAAAAGAAACGTAATATAAACAAAAAAAACAAGATACGTAGAATGTTAGGAATAATTTGCATATTATATGTAAAGTTCAATTCTCATTTTATACATCGAGATCAAATTAAAATTTTTTCTCAAGTCTTTTCTTTCGCATGTATTTGGAATGATCAAAATTGTACTTTCTAAGGGATAGGATTATCCGTATGTTACCTAACCACATAGGCAAATTATCAAATTACTACGTATGTTAAGAACAATTTGGCCAGCATTAAGATTAAGATTTTACATTTATAGTATAAGATTCTAATTATATGCAGAAATTTACGAAAGTTCGAGGTAGAACATAAATTACAAGCAAGGTTGGTAAATTAGAAAAGTCTAAAATTTCACAATTAAGTTTTATATTTGTTAATGGTAACTTACCTAATAATAGTACCACTCGAGTGACCCGTCTAACATCCACTAACTGGGCCATGGATAATGTTACCGGATTAATTGGGCTCCAGGATCATTCATGTATTAGTCAACTATCTATGCATACAGTATATATGAAATAGCTTCTACGAAACAGTATTTTTTTTATTCAAAATTACATTTTCTGACGGATTCTTCTTCGATATTATCGTCATGAAATTGGAGTTGAAAATGATGAAAATTAGGCATTATTAGTTCATTATCGAAATCAGCAGATATGAATAATTTTAGCGGAATATTTTATGTTGGCTTTTGTTATTATAATGTTATTGGTGTTGTAATGAATAAACTCAAACATAAATCATTACCAAAAATCGGCAATTCTAATGGGATCTTTAAACTACTATTACGTGTTGGTATTGGAGGTGCAAGTAGATTTTAATTTTTGTTATAATTTAATGTTATTCATTAAATTTAATTATAACAGAGTAAGTAAAAAGAGCAGAGCGTTAATACTGAAATCTGCAATTCAAGTTTATAATTTCTTGAGATCATGCAGTGTCTGCTAAAACCAGGAACGTAAATACAAAGTAATATGTTATTTGTAAAGAATTACTATAAAAATTTGAGCTTAAAAATTCAGTATAATATTTGAAAGCTATTTTCTTAAAAAGAATAATATTATTGAAATTAGCTAGTATTTTAGCTAATACCAACTAAACATTGTCAAGAATATGTATTAACATCATTTGCTAATTTTTTTTTCTATAGATGAATAAATGAAATGATTTGATATAGCT